AATTGCCAACAGGACAAACACATAATACTTGTTCTGACTCACTCCAACTGACACTTTGCTTGTCTCTTAAAATAGCAATAACAATAACATAACGATAATAAGAATACATTGCATCTTAAATTTTAAATAGACAAAATAAAGAAACAAAATATCCCACAGTATACAAGTATCAAAAAGTATGTATATTTTGTATTAGCATTTCTTGTTTTAATCATTGATAAATTGTATATTAGGACTGATCAAGAATACTTACATCAATATACACTGACATGGGGAGGCACCATATCAGATTCATGCAGCAAAAATCTGGAACTGTCTTCCTGAAAATGTAAGACACTTCTCTCACACTGTTTAAATCCAGGTCAGTTGTTGCATTAATGTTCAACAACTGAGGGGTTTTATCTTCACACTTTTTAATGTTCTTTAATTATATATGATTTTAATCTTAATTTTTTATCTTATTTAGTCTAGCTTTGACTTTCCTTTTGCATGAATTGTGCCATACAAATTGCCTTGCCTATATGATTCACCACGTTTTGTACCCTTTTTTTTGTACCCAGTATGCATGAATTGATGTCACACTTACAGATTTTTTTTTTTCCTTTTGAAGAGGTTTGGTCATGGGTTTACTTTTCCCATTTGTTGTCAGCTGGGACCGTCCTGCCCGCACGCCTCCCTCAGCATTCCACCTCACCACATGTGAAAGCCTGGCAGCCTGTTTTGGGAATACAGCGGAGGTTGATTGATCATCCGTCCCAGATCCGGCGCTGATTGGACGGAGAGGCGGACAGACAGAAGGGGGGATCAAAGTTCGTCCTGGGATATAGGGCTTTTAAATGCGCGTCTGCCCCGTGCGGCTCGTATAAGTGCGGTTCCATGTACGTCCAGGGAAGTATGCAGGCCAACGCGCCGGGAATGTCAGGAATGTTAGTCTCTCCCTGTGCCACTGTGGGGTTACCTGGGCACGTGGAAGAAGGTTGGAAAAAAGTGAAAATGAGTAAACGCTGCAAAAGTCCGAAGATAATCACAGGAAGCAATTCGTATTTTTATTCATTTATTTGGTTGAAGAATACGCCCTTTATGTTTTTTTCTCCTACAGTATGCTTTTTTATGGTATTAGTACTTTACTAACTTTTGAACCCAAATATTTGCACTCCTTACATATCAAAATACCTACTTTCCAGATGGTGACTTGACATACAGTACATACAGGTTAAAAGTGATTTCTGTACTTCTAAGATAATTAATGATTTGCTTTTTGCCAGGCTTCTAAGTTCAGATAACCATTCACCTTCTGTTTTGATTGTTGCCATATTCTTTTGCAGTACAAACCATTTATTGTTTTATTATTTATTTATTTATTATTTTGAAGTGTTTTAAGTGCAATGTCTAAAATGTCCCAAATAAATATATCATAAATTATAGTGCAATTATTTTGAATGATTATTGTTGTTGAATGATTGACAATAAACAATATACAGTCTGCTTTTGTACATCCATTTTCTTCCCCTTAAGCTATTTCTGGGTCGGGGGGTGGTAGTCAGTACACAGAGCACCAGCCCCTCACTGATCTTCCTGCAGGTGGTGAGTCCACAGGAGCCTTGATCTTTCAGCGGGGGCTTCAGGCAAAGTGGGGTTAGGTGTCTTGCCCAAGGACACAACGACAGCAGTCATCAGTGGGAGTTGTGAAGTAGGTATTGTGGTGGGCTCGAACCCACGACCTTGAGGCACTAAGGCCAATGTTCTACCAACTGTGCCAATTTACACTTTTGAACATAATGCAAAATTTCTTTACTGTACTGACACATTCCTAATGGACTAATAAAGGGGATAAAAATTACAAAAGACACATTCCTATGGTCATGCTTTGTTTTCTTTCTTGTCAAATGCGGCACGAATAACCTATTTTTGTACGCACACCCAATTTTCCAAAATGTTTTCCCAGATGTTGTCAACCATAAATAGGCGGTGAAACCTTTTTGTCTAACAAGGCCAAGCAAAAAAAATATTGAAAGTAGACATCCTCTGTTCCATTCTCCCACTGATATAATAGTTTAAAATAACTCCCTTTTGTGCTGATAATTCCTCCATATCCCAGGGATAAATCAGCACTAGGAGACATAGATACATTAAAATCAAGAGGGAAATTAAAATCTAGTAAAAAAGATAAAGAGTCAAGCTTGTATCCAATTTACATATTCCGAGACAGGAATGACTGCAGTATTAGCCTGCATCCTGTCACTGAAGTCTACAAGAAACTGCTTGTGACCGAGCCACAATCTCCCCAAACAACAGATTTGACTGAGCAGCTGTTCTCACACAACTCTCACAACTCCCCTGTCCCGTTTCCCAGGCCCAAATAAGCCTTTTTCATTTGATATCACAACACACTATCGCTCCTCTCCTCCCACCCCAGTCTGGCCGGCTCAAGTTATGTTTTTTTTTCTGTTTTCACTCAGGAGCGTTGACAAAAAGCGTTGAAATAATTACAAATGTAGCTAAAGCAGCCAGTGCTGTGTGTGTGCAGTGATTTGTACCGAGTCTGTGTCAGAGGAAGAGGAGGAAGAGGTCCGATTGTTCACGGAATCAGCTCATGACATCATTTCAAAGGGCTGTGTCAGGAATGCTTCAACAGAGAAAAAAACATTTCAGATTTCAGTAAACTGTAACGAAAGATGAGCTACAGTTAAATGACGGTAATGCACAATACATTATAAAATTATACATGACACTGCCCGCAATAGTAATATCAACCCACTCATTATGAATATCTACTCTACACTGATGATAGTTAGTAACACAAACGCGTACGATGTTATCCTATTGATCCACGATTAACATTTCATAACATTTAAGCCATAAATGAACACATGTAATTATGTAGAGATATTATTACAAGATTCATTTCTGCATGATAGTGCTGGGCAATTATAAGTGAAAAGATAGGATTTAAATAAATGTCATAACAGACAATCACACATGAATCTTTTCTATGGGATATGTAGAGAAAAGTTAGTTAATATGTAAGTAAGTCATCTTTTTTGTATAGCGCATTATACAGACCAAAGTCAACCAAAGCACTTGAACATAGTACAGACATGATACGTATTTTGAATCAGTTTTTAGACCTTAGAAGTGAGTAAAAACTGTATATGTCTTGTGTGACTTGGGGCAGGGGCAGCAGGAAGACTGGGGTCTGAAGGAAGTGGCAGAGGGAGGAGACTGAGTGTTTCAGGGAATTACTAAGAGGAGGAATCACCAGGCTCATGTTTACTGCCGAATGAAGAGACCCAGTTGAAACAATAAACTGCATCTAAAGCTGGGTTACCTGATTTTTCAACTGCAAAAAGGGGTACTGCTGTCTATCTCCTGGCTCTCACAAACTCTTTGGTACATCACTGGCAAAAACAATCATGCCTTTTTGACTTATTTTTCAGTTTTAGAACAATGTAAGGAAACCAGTCAAGCTCAAGCCCAAAGTGTCATATTGTGATTCACAGGACTGATTCTTTACTGTCTATACTCCCACGTTGATCCACTGGGAACCATTACTCATGCATTTGCCTTCTCCAGCTATAGGCCTGCCTGACCAAGCCAAGCATCAATATCTGGAGATGGGTCCACTGGAGCTGAAATTAGTGACCACTGCTCGTTGCACAAGTGGAAATGAAAGATGGATCAAATGCAGAGAGCGTATAACATGAGATCCCAACGCTAGATGGGACTAAAAATTACAAGTGTACCTTTAAAGTAGATATACGATCCAAAATGTTTTGGATTCAAGCATGTTAATATCAGGAAACTGTAAATCCCCCATTGTCTTTTTTTCTCCTTTGGTCAAAAAAACAAGCTTAGTTTACAGTTATTTTGCTTTACACTATAAAAAAATCAGTTCTACTTAGTGAAGTTTGGTGCTTCTGTCTAAATTCTCTTCTCTTATAGTTGTAATTATAACCCTATTACAGAGCAGCTGTGAATCTCTATTCACGTTGGCAATACATTTTCTACCTATGAGATATTATGCTAATACTAGGGCCGGGCGATATGGCAAAACCAGTGGGGCGGGTCCCGGCTCAAAAGTGGCCAAAATGACGTGCGCTGACTTACTTGCAATACCACCCCGGGCCGATGGGGGTGGACCCAGAAGAAGAATTAGCCAATGCTAACATATAGCATTGGCAGACCTCTGGAAAACGTCTTTACAGGATGGTCCAAAAGTCGGCTCTTGGCCCAAAGCTCCGTTCCACATGTGTGTCAATGCTGAGGGGGGTGGATTTTTTTGGACCACTCCAGTTTACTTGCTGTGAAATTTTGAAGTCTCTCGTTCAAATTAATGGAGCTTGCGCCGGCTGAGACATGCGCAGATGCGTTTTTTCACTATTTTCTTGTGAGCGAGACCACTCGCAGCCATTTTGGATAGCTCCAAGAGCACTATTTTTGGCCCATTATTTAGAACGGCGGAGATAGGCGTGACTCTATCCGTTAATATATACAGTCTATGGTCAAAACAGTAAAATCTCAATTTTATTTCCTGCTTTGGACAATTTCGATTTTGAATCGATTTTCATTCAAGTCACTGAAGACAGACATTGCCCTTAAAGTTTTTTTGGGATCTTTTTGCTCAATATTCAGTTTCAAAACTATTCATTATTTGTTTCCATCAATATGTATTATAAAAGTCTTGTACAGACTCTGTAGACTAAGTATAATTCATGTGCTGCTGGAACTCTCACAATATCCTTCATTCGATTTCAAAAGTTCGATTTTTTCAAAAGCAGATTATATGCCTAAATTCGATTTATTGCCCAGCCCTAGCTAATACATACATGTCACAATTATGCTATGACAATATTGCATGGCCAAATAAGGAAAAAAACTGTTTCTTCTTTAACATGAACCAATTCAGATGTGATGGTGAGCAAACTTGTCACTATAACTGATACAGATGAAACAAGTCATGCACGAGTGATGTTTCCACTACAGAAAGGACCATAAATATAATGTGGAAGGAAGCCGATGTCTGGAGCTCTGGAGGCTGGAGCCCTATAGTGCAGGCCTACGTGACGCACATGGAGCTGGGCATATGGAGGTGCACATTGTGAGGCGCTCTCTCTGGAGGCCGACCCAGTTGAAGACGAGGCTGCTGTAATCTGCATTGACAGAGGAAAAGTTATGGTGGAAGTGTTGCATGTAAATCACTGAGAGCCTGCTGCCATAACACACAGACACACAACAAGCTGCTTATAGGGACACAGGAAGGGGAGACACACACACAAACACACACACACACACACACACACACACACACACACACACACACACACACACACACACACATACTGGATAAAGTTCATTTGTACATCACAAGTATAGTCTCCTGCTATTGCTTAGTCACACACGGACCTCAACACTATAGCGTTCAAACCAATGGGATTCTGAAAAATTCTCCCAAAAATGTTTAGTTTTCCACCAGATGTATTGAAAATTAATGGATTACTGTATGTACTGTACAATATTATATGGGTGGGGTAAGTGGGGAACAATTATATTTGTTATTTAGGACTGTGAAATTGTGTTTGTCCGTGTTTGAAATAAATAATGTAACAAAATGACTAAAAACAACGCTTGAGTGAGTCTTTAGGGTTTAGTTTATGAGCTCAGAGCAACATCATTAGGCAGATAATTCCATTTACAAGGAGCATATCTGGACAAAGCCGCTTCTCCCGCTTTCAGCCTTACACTAGGAAAAACCAATTCGTCAGCGCAAATGTGGTCAACGTGTGCCTCATTTTCCAATCTTATTCACTTATACTTTCTGTGTATTTCTTACATTTTTCTTGAGTAGCCTGCCATGTCTCTCCCACAAGTAGCAGTGGCCCCACAGGCAGCAGTAGGGGAAGCGTGGACACGTCGAGATATTTACATACAGTCAGACAGACTTCCTGCTATTGTCAGCCACTGCGCGTTGATGTCAGATCCACTCCTTCCTGTGCAGAAGGGAGAACGCCATGCAGTGACAATGGACTCAAAACAGGACAAAGAGGAAATGTTTAAATTTAGGCCCCTTCTTGCCACCATCTTGCCTCCTCTTTCGCTCGATGCGCTGCTCTGGGGCATTCAAGCTGTTTTGGCTTTTTTGTAAATTCCTTCGGTTTCCCCCAGAGCACCCTTTCGCCATTGTGTCGTCTCAATGGAAGGATTTTCACATTCAACATAAATCCCAAAGGAAGATCAAGCGGTGAGACCAAGGTTTAGTCAATAACGCCTTGCTGTCCATAGAAATGAGGAGTGCTTTCCTAAATAGGCCATACATCGAGTAAATATAGTCAACAACAGAACACATTTGAATGTATCTAAATGATATTGACTCAGCCTTAATGCACACAGGGTATACAGTACTTCTATATTGGATAATGTATAGGCCATTGTACGCTTTTAGTTAAAAATAGGGTAGCTCACTTTGCTTTTTCATAAGACTTTTAGTTTGTCCCAACAAAACTTCTTGCAAAAGCGACATGTGAACAAAGACCTACAGTCTTCATTTTATTAGTAAACAATCTTTTGTGTGCTTGTAAGAAAGCGCCCTGGGAGTCATTAATTGACTTTTTTTAGCTGAGAACTGATTGTCTGAGTGAGGGTGGTCTCTCATGTCACTTTTTTCTCTGAAAAGCTGAACTAAAGATGTGACAGAGGCCAATCTTAAATGCATGCATGCGAAAGCTAGTGATAACCAACAATGAACAAGTTGGAGTGTAATACAATGTTACCTTTGGATGGTTTGAAAGATAGTTTCCTCGGCTTTAATAAAATCTAAATTGTGGCATAAAATCTAAACCTTGGCATCTGCTCAAGTCCATTAACATTGGGGTGCATAAAAGGGGTAACCACACAGAAGGGTGCCCGGGGTAAAGGAAAAGCGGCCCCACAACTGTCTCAATGATGGTAATTGATGGCTTGGACTGCAGTTATTACATTTTGCAGCAATATAATAAGGTAATTTTAATAATTTACAATGACAGAAATGTAATGATTACTTAGAGAGAGGTTTATGATTGAGATACAGGCCAAGTTTAGTGATGAGAATTCCTTTATGTGACCAGAGACTCCATACTATAAAAAGAAACTATATTTTTAATGTATTATGTATATTTGTTTTTGCCATTATTATTCTATTATTCCTTTCATTGTGTTTGTCTTTTAGCAGGTGGTACAAATTAAATAAAAATATGAAAACTCATAAAAGCAGGTCATTCTTGACCCATATGTATCTATATGAATTTTAGATATGACTTTACAGAACATTTTCCCATTCAATCGACATTATATTACATCCTGATCATCTGTCCTGGACATTAATGATCCATAGATGATTCCATGTTGAAGACACCCATTAACTGAGATGCTGTACATTCATTTGCGTCAGATTATTGGCAAAGGAACAACCTTTCCAAGGAAACGATCCTCCTCCAGTCCAAGTGTGAGCTAGGTTTGTGGACATGCAAGCCTATCAGATAATATTTGTGTAGTTACTAATATACAAAAGTGGTACTTATTATAGGCACATTGCAATACTGTAATGCAATTGAACATCACATGCTTTCATCTAATCTAATAAAGTTATGCATAATCCCCACTTTACTCCAAATACAAACAAACGCATAGATAATCCTTCAGCTGTAAACAAATCTCATTTTAGTTTTTGTCTTAATATAAGGTGTGTCCTCCGTCTCTCATGCGCTCTTGTGTATGTGTGCGTGCGCGTGTGTGAGTATGCGCGTGCGTGTACGTGTGCGTGTGGACCTCTGTGGTGTCTGTGAGAGGCGGAGGAGAGAGCAGCCTGGATCACAGTCTGGGGCTGCTGCGCTCGGGGCCAAGAGTTCACGGCGCTGTCCCCGAAGATCGTGCGGTGACTTTCTCCCAGATTGACGCAAGGTTCCCGGGGAGAGCCTCCACACGTGACCGGCCTTTCCTCCTGCATAACTTTGGACTAAACTCATGGATCAAACTTTGAACCGCTACGTCCACGGGAGCATATGACTGGTGCGGAAGCTGCGGAGATGGTTTTCTGAACGAGAACAACTATTTCGGGTAAAGTTTGTGGCTTTCGTTGAGATACTTGCGTGAAGCGAAGGGGTTTCCTGGTGACTGGATCTCACATCTAGCCCTAGCTTTGCGCCAACTTTGCCAGGAAACGGGAAAGAATTAGCTTGATTTACTAAAAAGCATTCTCCTCTTGAGACAAAACATTACTAAGTGCTGTAGATCCTTTGCTCTGGAATTCACTCACGAAGCTGGAAACTACGCTGTGTTTAGTGTTAATTCAGATTAGGATATATCTAGACTCTAATAATAAGCACTGACAACGAAGTAATCTACGTTTTAAGTCAACTAGACACGCCACTGTGGAATTCCTCATACGTGCGTAAGATTGTTTCATAGATGAGAACAGTGAGTAGTGCACTTTATGTATTTCTTTTTTTATTTTGTATCCTTTTTATGTTGTCTCTTTTGCATAACGTTTGAAATACATTCTTACTACTACTACACTTACTGAGAGGAAAGTCATCACGTCATTGACATGGGCGAAATCCCACGAGTGAGTGTTACCATGGTAACTTTGCCTTGGTGGGCAAAAAATGCTTACTAAAAAGATGGGCCAGATTTGAGGTGTTAGGCAGAGTTCCACCTAAAACCAAGAAACAATAATTTAAATTCTAAAAACTATACATGTTTGACTCAGTATGACCTGCTGAGATAAATGCAGGCTCAGCTGCTTCCTTTCTGCATACTTCTAGAACCAAAGACACTTTAATTGAAAATGATCAGCTTAATTTCAATGATGCTTTCATGGTAAATACAGGTTAAAGAGAAAGTGGCACTCCCTTTTCCACTCTGTATCCCTTCAATGATCACTACTACTGTCTGATACAACGACCACACCACTGCACACGCTGCACCAGTCCGTCTGTCAGTCTCAGTTTTCCCACTCCTGTGAGTCCTGATATACCGAAACTAATTGGAATATTTATTTTGCTGCTAAAAAACGCTAAAACAGCTAAAAATTGATTATAGTACTTAAAGAAACCTCTTACATTTACCATTATTGAATTAGAGTTTGTCATTTTGTCTCAGGTTGATTCTAATGAGATTTTTAAGTTTGAATAAAATAACAATATGGTATAGCTGGCAACAATTTTAAGACCATTTTAGTGAAAATACTGAATTACTATTGTCATAATTAGCATGCTAATATAGAGTTGTACAGCACAGTACATGTATTTATTAACCCAGGCAAAATTAAAATAGCGTGTGCAAGTTTCATGATTTAGTACTCTAGTTATAGTTATAGGGAATGCTAAGGAAGTTCTTATCACTTTGGCATACACACACACACACACACACTGTACCCTTGATCAATACACCCATAACCCTGTGCTCGTGGTTTCAGGTGAGAGAGAAGGTGGCAGACACATGATGAAGAGCTGACACACAGGAGTGTGAGTATGGAGCTGACCGACAGCTCTGCCCCAGAGTGCACCGACCCCAATGGGTTTGTCAACAAGGTCTTTACTGTGTCGTTGGACGTAGCTAATGAGAGCAGCTCCGTGTGTGTTCAAGAGCCTGCTTCCACAGAGGCTCTGGGGGACTGTCCTATCCGAGACAGACAAGAGGTGAATCGCAGGTCCCGCACCACAGGGGGCATCTGGAGGATTCTGAACAGAAAGAGAACCATCCCGGAACTGGATAGACGACCTCACTCCATGATCCTGCCTGGAGAAGCTGCCACCCCTAAACTCTCCTTTGCTGACAAAGTACGCTCCTTCAAGAAACTCAAATCCCCCTCTGTGTTCCGGAGTAAGGGTAAATTATCCACAAAATTCAGCAGCTCTTTGGTGGATGAGGAATCTTTTTGTCATAACATTGGCACGCCGCAGCAGCTCAGCAAGGGTACACTGCGACAACGGAGTAAGAGGCACTCATACGCTGGATACACAGTGGACTTTGACTGTTCATTTGAAGATCTGGACCTCACTGCTCCTACAGAGACGCCCCAGCCCATTGTTTCAGACTCTGCTGCTCAGAATGGAGTTAAACCTTCAGAGAGGGTCTGTTACACTAAGAGAAACCATAACAATTCCTCCAACTGTAACAAGGTGCCCGGATGTGAGGAGGGGGTCATCAGAGACTGTCCCAGCACCCACCGAGGTGCAGCAAGGAAACACAAAGATGTGTGGAGTTACCTGCGGAGGATTTCCCTTTTGGGGAAGGCTGGTGCGGCATACTCAGAGAAGAGCTTTGAGTCAGAGCTTCCTTCTTTAGACAAAACGCTAGACTCTGACTTTGGCTCTGTGGACTTTGAGAGTGTAAAGGACTTCCAACAGCCTCTGCCTAAACACCCAGACACAAAGGGCCACTTTGGGGGATTATTCAAGTTTTTCAACAGTGTAGCAGAAACTGCTCGAAAGTGGCGAACCACCACACGCTCTTTCTCTCCTCCAGAGGGAGAAATGAGCCCAGTGAGCTCCCCACGAGCCCCACGCACAGCTAACAACATCCACAGTGTGTCCCTGTCCATCCACGCAGACACGCCCGCCTCTCCACGCACCACCAAATCCTCAGGCAGCTTCACCAGTGACACCATGGGACGTCCCAGAAAAGGATCTCACAAACGAGAATGTCAGACTCATAACGGCCTTCAAAACCAGCACATAGAGGGCAATAATATAGTGGAAAATGGTGTAAGTGCAGACAATAAAACAGAAGCAGAGGTCATTGTGGATCCATTAAAGACACAGGAGGAAAGGGCCGAGGGACAAGCAGGAAATGAGCAGGATTCCAGGGATGCTCCACCTGACACCACAAAGATACAGGAAGTAAATGCCCAATCACAACACTGTGACAAAAACAGTACAACCAATAGTGTCCCAGCCTCCAACTCTACTGAAGAAATATTTAAGGTATGTGCCATAAAATACAAAGCATACTTAATGTTTTTCAAAGCTGACATTTTATTTTTTGGAAGTAACTGTGTGGAATAATGACCACGTTCATAACCTCATCTCATTGCAGCTATACTCACACGTTAACATCAGCAAGCTCATTGTCATCGCTAAATGCTTCAAAACATTTCTCAATTATTGTTTGAGTATGATGGACATTTGTTAGTTATTGCAATTAGTAGCATCAATGGCCATTAATGATAGTAGATGTTTTACTGAGTTCAATAAATCTATCAATAACTTTGTATGTTAGATTGATTGGTTGTTTTGATCACAAATGAATGCTTTTGTATAAATTTGACCCGCATTACTGAAGACATCCAAACTGTTTAACAGAAGTTAAAACAAAAACAAATTAATTATAAACTTAAATTCTTAAAAATGTTTATTCCTACGTTCTTTCTCTGTCATTACTGCGCTGTTGAGCCTCAAAATCACATTAATGTAGACGTCTGTTAGGAGTTATTAGTTGTAGGAGTATTTCATTACACTTTTATTCATTATTAACATTTATATTACAAAATTAAATAGTATTGATTTAAATAGATTGATAATTGTCGATTGTTAAAGCCCTACTTTTTATCATGATTGAAACATACTCTTACTATTTCACTTGTTGATCTACAGACATTTAAACTATTACTGAAAACAAATATACCAAGAATATTGGCACACCTAGACATTAGGACAGGAGTTACAGTGTCCTTTTGCTCCCTCTATTGGCCACCATAGAGACTGCAGTTTCAAAACAGCACTTTTTCCTGTTATTTGATGGATGAGAAACTGGCTTTATTTTCCCATAGAGATGGCCGTGTGTGTGTGCGGGAGGCCTGGAGCTTAGTGAGGCAGCCCTCGCTCCTCACTTCACTGAAGACATTAGTCACCCCCTTCTTGTCGCACCAAGTCAGGACACGTTAGGCCAAACTCTGCATGACATGATGCAATGTGACATCTCGGGACCCAGCGCTCTATCATTGGGCTTGATTATGCAAGTGCACACAACTATATTTGAATTTGTGCTGTTTAGTAGGGCTATAGTAATGTGAAAAGTTGTACTAAGGTTTAAGCAGACTGGACTAGATACAAAACTGTATTTCTCACTTTGTCAAAGAGCCAATACTCATGCGCAATCTTTATTTGACATTGTGACATCTCAACTGTCAATAGATTAGGAAGGAATTAAAACCACTGTGTGAGTGGATAGATACTCAGGCTAATACTCATGTTATTGTGGTTTTTCACTAAATTGTTCTGATTCTGATAAACCAAAAACTGGAATTAAAACAATGTTGTATTTTATTAAATTTGATTAAACTAAATGACAAGCAAGTTCTGACTTAAAACTGCTTGATACTAACTTAGCAGATGATGTCAAAATGCACTCAGGGAGACATACCTCATTTAGACTTTTGGCAGTGCTTTGTGTATTTCTAAGCCTGTTTTAAAGCTATAAACAGGGATAGCCAAATTCTTCTAATATGCAACAAAATCACTTGCTGGTTATAAAAAAAAAATTGTGATGTTAATAATTGCATACTTTGCGGCCACTAGAATTGCTATTTTGAATCGATTGCATGTACAATAGATACAACTATTTATTCACACAATATAATTGCTCCACAAATACACACTGATTTTAATTTGCAGTGGTCGACAAAATCATAGCGTATCTCCTGGCCATTCCAAAAGTATGTTTCTTAGTCCCCTTGTGAGCCCAACCCTGAGTGTCTGTGCCAATCCCAGCTGTGTGAGCAGATTGCCCTGCAGACAGGCATCTCTGTCAGACAGCCTGGTCCCAGCGTGCACCACTCCAGCCTGGACCGCTCTTCTCGACTGAGCCGCCTCCGGCCCCGTCCCGCCTCGGCCATCCTAGACCAGAGACCCGAGGAAGCACGCGACTACTACAGCCACTACGCCGAGGTGGGCTCTCTGTGCCGAAGGAAGGGCAGACGGGTTCCCAGCATGCACCTCTCCCCAGGTCAAAGAGGGACAGCTCGGACCAGGCCCTGTTCTGTCATAGAGACCAGTGTTACTAGGGAGACGCAGTTCTTCGAGCTACACCACAGAGTAAGATGTCCGAAAATGTGATAATATATGTATGACATCCTGTATGGAAATATGAAATAAGCTTTAGTTTGCACATTTATTTATTATACTAGCATTGGATACAATTTACACTATATGATAATTAACATTAAATAGCACAATATGGTGTTGTAGTTGCAGATTTCATATTTATTCATCAAAACAAATGACTTCTTTAAACATATATGGGATTGTGTTGCCCATTATTAAGGAAAACTTAATGAAAAACTTGATCTATTGGTATGGTATAATTTTTATTTTATATGGACAGTGAACAAAAAACATTAGCCGAAAATGCATTGTACCAGGTTGTGAGAGCAAACCCAATAACATACAATATCAGATAATGTATGGTCACCTAAGCAGAGATGCCCAGGCGTCTCTATCCATATCCATACAAGCAGTCAAACAGTAATAAAACATAGTTTCACGACTTGTCACTATGTTTACAATTTTGATTTCAATATACAGTACATCCCGACAAATATTTGCAATTTGTCAACTTGACAGCGGTATGTAGAATGTCCTGTTACTTTATCGATAGGTGCAAGAGTAGAGAGCGTCTCCAGCTGTGTTCATTGGTTAAAAATAGCTCTGTCCCATTATGAATCCACAGGAGTTCTTGAAGGGCAGCCTATGGTACTAACCCAGTATTTATGCTGCAACAATACATGCACGCTCTGCCCCATTTACACTGTATTTCTGTGCTTCCCTCAGCTAACCTCCTCATGCTTCGTACTATGCGGCTTGTGAGTCTTTGTGGACAGTTTTCTGCTTCATCGCATCATGCCGCTGTTCCTCTCATTGCACCCTACACTGTTTGTGTTTTAACCTGCAATAGCTTAGTATGATATATGGTGTGATATGGTTTGGCTCCAGGCCGTGCACATAGATCAAGGCACCAGGGCAGGCTTCAGATACTTGTATTTACAGCTGCGCATAAAGGGGTTTGAAGAGAACAGTGCTGGACTTTACAACAGGGAAAACAAAACAGAAATACATAAGAATTAAACTGGGACTTTAGAGTATGAATGTGGGCTGAACATGCATGACGGGAATTGACCAATGGATAGCTTAGGGAGGCCCAATCTTTATAGTAGTTGGGCGACTTTAATTAACCATGATTAACTATGGACAACAAAATGGATTGCAAAACTGTTTTAACTGGATTCAGGCTGTTCTGGGCTTTAAAATGGTGTATGATTGGTTAATATTGGTTCACACCACTGCTACATTAGCACCATGTATTTTGTGGCCCAATCAGACAAATGATCAGTATTCACAAATACAGTACATGGATTCCAATGGTTCTATTCTTTACAAAAAGGTGGCTGGATGACACTGAATGCACTTCACTGGCTAGGCTCTGTTAGCAAGGCACATATGTCCCGCCAACCTAAATTGGGGCATGCCTGGGATAGAACTTAATTTATTCCACATGGGGAAAATTCAAGGGACCAGCCTATACAGACATACTTTAAAAAACCAGTAAAGGTTCCATAACTATAGGGTTAGGAACCTCAAAAGAATAAGGCTTTATTGGATCCAAACATATTTTATGTCTAGTTGTTTCAGTTTTAGTCCACTCTTATAATTGGGATAATGGTGAAGCTTTATACGCTTTACCTGTGCTGAATACAATTCTGTTTATATTTGTCCCAGTTCTTTTCAGAGAAATATTAGCCACAGACTAGGGTAAGATACTTGTACAAATTCTTAAAACAAGCAAAAATGCACCTAAACTACAAACAGTCTATACTTTCTTAAACCTGCATCTAATTGCATGTAACTGCATTAATTGTGTGTCTTTGTGAAAGTTGTTAGAGCTCTCCTTTTGGGGTATGGGTGGATCCTAACTGTTGAGTCCCCTATAGGCCTTGTCCCGACCCCCAGGGGTTTCCCCTTTGGAGCCCCCCCTCAAACCCTCCCTTCAGCGGTGTCGCTCCCTGACTCTGCCCAGCAGCACTTTAACAGCCCTGGCAACTCTGAGACTCCCACAGTCAGGTAAACACACGCTTCATAAGTGCTATATTTAGATGGAGAGCGTTTTAAAGTTGATAAAAATGTAATGTTTCTATTGAAAGACATCGGGCAGTCCTCATCTGTGCGGCTCCGGACCGGCAGCTACAGAAGAAGACGTCTGTTGAGACCGGGGTCTGAACCCCTGCAGGTCAACATCGTAAGTCATTGGATTTTCCTATTTTGTTGAAACTTTTTCTACTATAATCGCTGGGTTTGATGTGATTTATTTTGACGCAAACTTAACTGTGTTTCTAAACTTATTCTACCGTGTTTTGACTTGGATGCCCAAAGCTTGGATACCCAGGAATATAATTATGTTTTTTCTAACACAAAGAGTCATATAAAAGTAAACGTGAGAAAACATGCTGTCATGTTATCTCTTTGTAAGAAAGAACCCTGAGACTCACTCTGCTTTGAGCTGAGAACTGATTGGCTGAGTGAGGGTGGTGCTCTCTTTTGCTGGAACTGATCACAGAGGCCATGCGGCATGTAAAAACTAGTTGTACATGTTTTATCATAGTTTATCATAATCATTCCAGAAGCCACAAAAAGGGTCTCAAAGGAGGCCACAGAGCTGTCTGAGTATTCAAAGTCTCAGATTTTTGTCCTTTGCAATGTTTGGCACCACTGTTTCACCCTTAAGATACTTACAAGCATATCTGGAAAATACATAATAAGCTCTAAATTAGGTCTTTCTCATCGTTTACATAACTTCATGCACTGTACTCTGATGTAACTGTGCTCAAAAAGTGTCTCGGGTTTTGCTCAAATTGGTGCTTTGAAGTGCCCCGAAGCCTCTGGGGATTTTTAGTGGAAGGAAAGACACAGTAACTTGAAACATCCACATTAATGATCCTTATTGTTTTCGCCTGATGCTGTCAACTGCTTTGTTTTTAAGGCTGTAAGGCTGCAATGCTGTAAAAGACTTGTGGATTATTTGTATTCAGAAATTTTACTTGACAAGAAAGGTCTTAATATTCATTTCTTATGCTTTTTCAAACACTATACCTCTATAATATGAGATTTACCTTTGCAAATGGTAAAGACTGTAGACTGATATGGACAATGCTAACCTGCTAGTTTTATGAAGCTGAACAGGGGAGTCCTCATGGTTAAAGGTACTCAGTGTAATTTTTACATTTAGTCCAAATGAAAAAAACGTGTTAAATAATAACAAATGTGACTTTTTTAAGAATATTTACCTCCACCATGTTTTAGAATTTTTTTCATAGGCTTAGAAAGTGACTTATAAATGTCCATGAGAGCTGAGGACTCTCCATGTCAATGCGCCATCTTGAAATACAGTGGTGGAAACGGGACAAAAAGGAGTTTGACCGCGAGTTGGGGACCACTGTCAAAGACGATGTATTGTTCTGCGAAGCTACCATAGTACTGTAAATTATAATATACAGTATGATCTCAATGCTAGGTGGGAGTAAAAACTACACATTGTACCTTTAAAGTTTTGCTTTAATACTTTGGCTCCATTCACTTTCATTTAAAAAGTAAATACCCCCCTTGATGTTTCACTGCTCTGTACCATCTTATAGTTTTGATTTTGATATTGTCTTTGTAGATACAGATATGCCCCCAAACAAATGACCAATCAGGTGCCTTCTGTCCCCCAATTTGGCTTTAGAAGAGCCTTGCGCTGCTCCTGATTCGATTTTTGGTTGCTATGTTGTTGCGACCCACATATTTTCCTCCAGATTCCCAAGGATCTTTCGCTCTTGTCAGCTTCTCCTGTGACTCCTGCTCGGTTAGTTCACTCCTTTTACAGTCTATGGTAAAGACATATTTTAGCTCACCAATGAATAGAGTCAATAGACTGTTGTGTGTGACGTGGAAGTGGTCTGAGGGCCTATAGCACAGATAAGACTCATTGTTTTAAGGACTTGAGATTTCCTCAGTACAGCTGTTGGTGCAGTGGAATAATCAATAATGCACAACGTTATAAAGTGACTGTAAAACCTGTATTTAAGACTGTTGCATTATTAAAATTCAAGCCGAAACAGTTGAATATCCTAAGTGTGATATGAAATTGTGCATCCTTGATTTTTTTCAACCCCTTTGCAAAGAAGACTTAAACAAATATTTATTGGGTTTGAAAATATGTGGTGCTCTATAAACTTTCTCCCCTTCTCAAGACATGACCCGATGTGACTTGACGTTGACTGTTCACACATTTGAGAATTCTTGGGTGGATCCTAATGTGTTTCATGAAGCCCAAAAACTGTGACTCACCCTGTTAACCACAGAATTGAGCCGTTTTAAACCGTGAACTAAGTTTGTGTCCTGGCATGTCTTCAAGATAACGACACATTATAGGAGGAGATTCGTATGTAGTATTATGAAATTAAAAGTGTTGAATGTACAGTAGATAAAACAAAAAATTGAGGCCACGCCAGGTCATGAAGCTGATTTAGTATGGACTCAAACCCAAACCAAAAAGAAAAGGACATGAGACAATTTCTACCCATATTAGAGGTGGAACTAAACTGGGTCTGCAGCAACAATGATGAAGTTGGTTAACAAGACTTCAGTCAGTTCATGTCCACTTAAAAATGAATTAATATTTGAATAGAGGTAAGTTCATTATTATCATTTGAAATCATTATGTCATGGCTTTCCACAAAATATAAAGTTAAAAGTAATGTCTCCAACCTCGATTGTATTTAATTTAGAAAAAATATATATTTGACCATATGGCCCTGTAAAATCATCTCGTCATTTGGGTTATAAATATATTAAAATTGTCCCCCCCCCCTGGAATAATCATCAGCAGTAAGATTTTCTGGAGGATGACATTTAGACCAATAGTGAGGGGCCTAATCCGTCTATTCATGGGTTTGGATTAATAACGCCCTATCAGAAAACTCTGTGGGCGGGTCGAACTGTCTCTCCATCTTCCCAATTTGAAACGCAATGTGACTTTCACTTTTGTATTGGCTGTATAAAAAAACCAAAATAGTCAGATTCTTGTCAGTTTGCAGCTATTTTCTCTGCCATTCCTGGACCAATCCACATGAAACAAAGTTCTACATCTTCTTTGTCAGGACTTATTTATTATGTTTGTTATAAAAGTCTCTAAAGTCTCTAAAAAAAAAAAAACCTAGCATGATATTGGTCAGTAGACAGAGCTAAGTAGCAGCTTTGTGAATCTAATCACTAGCGAATAATAATCTGGGAAAACATGTTCACCGTTCCTTTTAAAAACACCCTTTTCACCATATTGCCACCTGCCCTTCAACTGAATTAGAATCCTACAATATTAACGCAGCCTAATACACCAGAATTATATTACACTGAAAGGGGTCTATCCAGAATTAAAGCAGGTCAAAACCAATGTCAAATCTAACTATAATAGGGCCAAACTATTTTGTGATTGAATCGAAACCAGTTTTAAACCAGATGTTAACGGCATCAAACCAGTGCTGAACCTGGTCTCCGTGTTTGTGATGTTGTCGTTGCCATGACACCGCTGGCTCCTGTTCATCTTCTTGTTTCTATCTTTAGCCTTTCTTTTTAAGTGTGAGCTAAATGGAGAAGCGCGTGGGTGCGGAGGAGAGAGACAGAGATGTTCCCTTTTGTATGTGACACTTTTGTTGCTCGGTCGCCCCGCGGACACACTGCACTGTATGTAGGTCTGCTCAGCCTATGTCCACTGCCACTAATGACACGCAGATGTAAGCGGTCACATGGCACTTCAACATGCGATGTGGTGTCCCTCATGCAATGTTTATTAGGTATGGTTTTATGTAAGAACGTGTATAGTATAGCTCTTTGTGATTTGTACACATTTTACTGCGTTGAGTGGACAAAGTCTGTTTATTGTCCTTAGAAGAGACTCATAAAACGTATGTGTGTGAGGCCATGTTTACTTAAAGCTGGGGTAATGACAAAAAGAAGTCCTGTAAAAGTTAAATGTTGCGAACAAAACAGATCACAACATGCTGTCTTCCTCTTGTTAGAAAACATGTTATCGTTTGCGCTGCCTGTGAGTCACTATTTGACACATTGGGCTGAGAACTGATTGGTTCTTAGTGAGGGTGGTCCTGTCGTTTTCACTTTTCAGGTTGAGAAAGCTGAGGCCAAACATTATGTGAAAATTTGTGATGGAAACAATCTATTTTGAAATTAAGAAACTAGTTTAACAGATTTTTATATTGTTTGAAAGTTAGGTACCCCAGCTTTATATGATACTTTTTAGTGAAGCACCTTTTGCATTTGTCTTATCCATCAGCCAGTGCAGCTGGGGTAACATTTCTAAAACATGGCAAAGAGCATTCTTGTGGCGTATGCTAGCCTTGTGATGGTCCGGTGGTGCAGAAAGCGTCGGACTGCAGTGGATTAAGCCTTAATGCTGACGCCTCTTTCCTTCTTTCCTTTTAATGGATACTTCCCCTCATCTCCACTCTTCCCCATCTCCTTGTAGCATTAGCTGCTCTATTCATTCCCATGCAGATGAAGGGACAGTTCGCTCTGCTCTGCCCCAAGCTATCCCTGTCAACTGTCAGAAAAGGAGCACACTCTCTTAATATGGCTTCTATGCTGGATTATGGGCCGTAATAACAACCAAACCAGGATTAACCCACCAGTTCTAAACGCCAAGACTGTATAAATAATACCTGTAAGTGAACTGAAAGATGGCACTGAAACCCCATTCAAAACCAACAAAAACTTTGAAATGGACTAAATTAATTTGACCTAAGGAACATGAAAAGCACCCATAGATGCGTCCAGATTTATTGATATGTTCCTTGTCCGATTGTCAATGTTTACTGACAAATCTAACAAATACAGAAACCCTGGTGTTTGCGTTAGTCCCTGCCACAGGGGCAGTGTATGATAAATACACCATAATATGGAGCCAAAAATAAGACTTCACAGTAGCAAACCCAGCCGAGAATATTTAAAGGAGACATATTATACAAAATCAGCTTGTTGAAACATGGTGCAACATTGTTATCACATAAAAAAACAGACCTGTAATTGTTTTTGGAACTCCTGGTTCAAATTTATGGCTTATGCCCCTCCTGTCTAAGAGCTCTCAGTCATGTAATGTATGTTGTATGATCCCACTCAGTTCTTTGCCTTTTACAACAATTGCATTGCCCAAGAAACAATTTTGGCACTTTCTCAAGTGACATTACCTTG